ATTCAATCAAAAAATAAAAAAGAAACATGCAAAGAAGCAAGAAAATGTGGAACTCATTGTTATGAGGAAGCCTTCAAGAGAACAGTCACACGAACAGAATATATGAATCTTTAGGTAGGGATTTTAAAATAACTACAAAAAGTACGTTAAATCACCTAGTGCAAAAGGTAGATCACGTATACAAAGTGATAAAGAATTTCAGTATGGAGAGAGTATATGCATATGGATGTGGATGTGTATGAAAGTGCTAGAAATTTTTAAAAATAAGAAATCAGTATGAGAGATAAATAACTTCTTTTTTTGAGATGGAGTTTTGCTCTTATTGCCCAGGCTAGAGTGCAATGATACAATCTCAGCTTACTGTAACCTCTGCCTCCTGGGTTCAAGCAATTCTCCTGCCTCAGCCTCCCAAGTAGCTGAGATTACAGGCACCCACCACCATGCCCAGCTAATTTTTTGTATTTTTGGTAGAGATGGGGTTTCACCATCTTGGCTAGGCTAGTCTCAAACTCCTGGCCTCAAGTGATCCACCCACCTAAGCCTCCCAAAGTGCTGGGATTACAGGTGTGAGCCGCCATGTCAGATCAAGAATTCTTTCAAAGGACTTATCAGCAGATTAGCATAATAAAGAATCAGTGAAGTTAAAGTTGGATTAATAGAAATTATCCAAACTATACTATAAAGGGCTGGGAGAAGGAGTGTGTGGAAAGAGTCATGTGAAACCTAAGAGATGATATGAAAAGGTTTAATACTTAATATACATGTAACTGGAGTACCAGAAGAGAAAGAGAGAAAATGATACAGAAATAATGTTAACTATATGACGGTTGACAGTTTGCTTGATCTAGACACCTCTCCTTGCTGGCTTGATGAAGTGGTCCTTTTGGGAAAGACAAGGAACTGTGGGTTGCCTCTAGGAGATGAGGCAGCTTTCCAGCTGGCAGCCAGAAAGCAGCTAAGACCCTCAGTCCTACAGCCACAATGAAAAGAATTCTGCCTCAGTAATTCAACTGCAATTAAACAAAATGAAACATGAGTAACAGATTCTTCCCCAGTCAAGCCTCCAGGTGAAAACACAACCCAGCAGACACCTAGAATGCTGCCTTGTAAGCTCCTACACAGAAGAATCAGTTAGGCCATGCCCAGACTTCTGACCCTTAGAAACAGTGAAATCAATGTGTTATGCAGCAATCCCACTTTTAATACATCCTTGACCATTTGAGATGTGACTGAATATCACTATGGGTCAGTTAAGGGCCAAGGTACTGAAGGTCGAATTTTTGTTGTTGTTGTTGTTGTTGTTTTTAAAGACAGTCTTGCTCTATTGGCCAGGCTGGAGGACAGCTCACTGCAATCTCTGCCTCCCAGGTTCAAGCAATTCTTGCCTCAAACTCCCGAGTAGCTAGGATTACAAATATATACCACCATGTCCCGCTAATTTTTGTATTTTTAGTAGAGACAGGGTCTCGCCATCTTTGCCAGGCTGGTCTCGAACTCTTGACTTCACTGCACCTGACTAGCTCTTCCAAGTTTTGACAATTTTTTAAAAAATAAGAGCTTCGTTTTTCTTTAAAATGATCCATGCCCAAATCCAGAACCATGTTGACAGTGGGTTACAGAGTTTGCACGGCACTGTCCAAGTTGTTACACTGTTTTTAAAAAAATCTTATCTGCATGTATTGTTAAATCAGGTATCATGAGATCTACTTATCAGAACCATGAAGATAAATTCTTCAGAGCTGTTTCTACTGATATTTATTTTCCTCAAAACTTGGCAGACTGTGGGGGAAAGAGTTCTGAAATTTTTTGTCTTCGATATTAGCTCCAATTCTTATAAGTATATACAGGCCCTATAACTGCAGCAGAAAAATGCATGATGGAAAATTTCCATAACCCATGCACTGAGACCTAAAAAATCATCCTTACTGGGTAGAATTTAGTATAATGCAATTAAGTGCCAACTGATATTTCTCACCATGGGAGGTCAGGAACTGCTGCAAAGAAAAATAAACAAATCCTTCTGCACTATTTACATTCTAATGTTTGGTAGGGGAAAATCAGGAGAAATTAGTTCTGAGATTACAATATGGACTTTTTAAAAGATTATCAAATAATTTTTAAATAAAAATTAAAGTTGTACCTCCATTAATATAAAATACATAGGCATGAAGTTATTAATTTTAGCATTATGTATAATTGCTAAATACTGCCAACTACCGAAATAGCCTAATGTAGGATAAAGTTAGTTGAATAAACTGATACATCCAAGTAACAGAGTAATCTGCAGCTGGAAAAAAAATGACTGAAGATGTCTATGAACTGGCAGTATAGCTATTTCCAGGATACAGTAAGTGAAAAAACAAGGTACAGAATAAAGGTATGCTATATTTTTTGTGGATAACCAAAGACGGTAATTAAAAAGAAAAAAAAGAGGCCAGGCACAGTGACTTAAGCCTGTAATCCCAACATTTTGGGAGGTAGAGGCAGGAGGATCACTTGAGGCCAGGAGTTCAAGACCAGCCTGTTGAATATAGAAAAACCCCGGTCTCCACAAAAAATAAAACATTAGCTGGGAGGCTGAGGTGGGAGGAATATTTGAGCCCAGGAGTTCAAGGCTACAATGAGCTATGATAATACCACTGCACTACAGCTTGGATGACAGACAAACACTTTGTGTTCCCCCTCAACAAAAGAGAGAGAGAGAAAGAGAAAAAACCACATCTACTTACTTTAAAAAAACACGAAGAAAAAAAGAATGGATAAACAAGATGCCAGTGATACTGATTATCCACATGGAGTACAGAACAACAGGAGGCAATGAAATACTAGGAGCTGGGGATTGAAGGGAGAGCTAATTTGGGTAAACTGCAAAAAATAAATTCACTATACATCCTTAGTCTAGGGGAAAAAAACAACTATTAGCAAATCCTAAACTCTTTTTAATAGGTTTCTTTTTCACAGAGATATGGATGAAGCAACTGTGAAGCCATTTTGTGTGTATTGTAGATACTGTGCGAATTAATAAATGCACTGATGTTGTTGGAAGTGAGGTAAACAGACATAGAGAAGAGGGAAAACCAAGGAGAACCCTACAGAGTTGGGACTGGAATTAAGAGTTATCGGTATGAACCATGGTAAATTATGAAACTCAAATATAGACGGTAAATTACATAACAGTATCCAGGGTTAAATTTCCTCAATGGTTTCAGACGCACACATACATAATACAGGGGAAAGAAGAAGGAAGGGAAGAAGCATGAGGAAACAATAAAAGCAAATGTGGCAAAGTGTTAAAAATTGGTGAATTCAGGGAAAAAGTATAAGTGAACTCAGGGGATTTCCGTATAATTCATGCAACTATCTGTAATTTTAAAGTTATTTCAAAATAGTTTAAAAAAGAAAGAGAGGCTGGGCATTGTGGCTCACATCTGTAATCCCAGCACTTGGGAGGCTGAGGCGAGCAGATCACTTGAGGCCAGGAGTTTGAAATCAGCCTGGCCAACATGGTCACAGAGTTTGAAATTAGCCAGGCATAGTGGTGGGTGTCTGTAATCGCACCTACTCAGGAGGCTGAGGCACAAGAATCACTTGAGCCTGGGAGGAGGAGGTTGCAGTGAGCCAAGACAGAGCCAGTGCACACCAGCCTGGGCAACAGAGTGAAAAATAAAAATAAATAAATAAATAATAATAAAATTAAATGTCCCAACAAAAAATAAAGAGAGCGAAGAGACATATGTATTGAAATTTCTGAAAGCATATACTCAAATGTAAAGCTGTCAATCTATAAGGAGGTGAAGGAGAGGAGGAAAAGGAGCCTCTCTAAAATATCCTTAAGTAAGACTGAATTCCATCCAGTAACTCTCATTAAATATATATCCCTAAATTAGGGGTACTTAACCTGGGACTAAGGGTAGGTAGATTAAATTCTATCCATCAAGAGGTCTGTGGATAGAATTCACTGAGTCTCTGAAGGGAATGGGGAAAAAATACATTTTAATTTCAGAAACTGATTTTTTTTTTCTTCAATTATGAATGCAGGCAACAAATAGTTTTTGGCAATACCTTTGACTTTATCTCGAAGAGAAATCACACATATTTTCACTTCACATTAGCTGAGGTTCTCAAAATAGTGTATATACCATTCAGCACTTTCATAATACAGTAACTACACTGGCAGCTAAATTGTATTTAAAGTAATATGATTTTTTAAAAACCATGCATCACAAATGTGCTTTTAAAATATTTTTATAACTGTATTCCAAAATCACTGTTTTCTTTGTAATCCTATGCACTTAAAATTGTTATTCTGGGTCGGGTGCAGTGGCTCACACCTGTAATCTCAGCACTTTGGGAGGAAGAGGCGGGCAGATCACTTGAGGTCAGAAATTCGAGACCAGCCAAAAATAAAAAATCAGCCAGGCATGGTGGCACAAGCCTGTAGTCCCAGCTATTTGTGAGTCTGAGGCATGAGAATCGTCTGAACCCAGGAGGCGGAGGTTGCAGCGAGCCATGAGCACACTACTGCACTCCAGCCTGGGCAACAGAGTGAGACTGTCTCAAAACAAACAAACAAAGAATTATTCTAAAAAGCAGACCACGGGCTTCAAACTGACCAATAGTTCCAAGGCACAAAAGTTAGAAATCTCTGCTTGCTCAGAGGTACAGATCCCTCACTTGTTTACAATTATGTCATAATGAGGAGAATTAAGTTTACAGTTTTTTGCTTTGCCATAAAGCAAATTATAAAAAGACACACATTATTGATAATTTTCAATCTAATCTTATTATTTAATTTCTAAATAATTTCCCCTAACCCCAGCACCAAAGTTATTCAAAATATCTGCAACCTCACAAAGAGCATCCAATAAAAAATATAACACAGATGTAAAAGATACAGGCACACAGCAACTATAACAACGAAGCAAGACTGTGAAACATCTTATCAAGAAACTCAAGTGTTTGTACATCTTTAAAAACTTGGTTAAAAACAAAGTATTTACCATCTCTCTTTTGGAAAATTTTTTAAAATTTCTTTAATGATTGGCTGGTAACAGGCATCCCTTTCTGTTTTCCCAGTTTCACTCCAGTCTCTCACAAACTGTTTCAATGTGGATTTTAACTTATCCATGTCAAATGTAGATGCTGGCATAATCTTTCCATTCCCCTGTTTAAAAAACAGACATCAATTAGCTTCTGAGAGAGTAATCTATTTTTGTTATGGTTAAATAGACATGCTACTAAGGGGCTATATAGGTGGTTTAGTGGATAACTCACTAGCCTCTCACCTCAACCGGGGTTCAAGTGCAGCTTGAGATCCTAAATGAAAAGAGTTTGGTGGTCTCACTGCTACCCTCATAAGATTAAGGTCCATTAATCATAAAACCACCATATAATTAAGCAGTCTTTACTCAGGAAAGGACCAAACTGAGCTGCTATGGAGACCGAACATCCTCTCTAAGAGAGGGAAGAAAGTCCCTCCAGGTCATTGATGGGGCAGCATGGAGAGGCTCACACTGGAGTGGCCCAACTGTATCCATCCTGTGGATACAAAAAGAGGACTTCAGTTTCCATGTACTGCCAGGCCCTTGAGATTTATAAGTGAAAATAATTTAATACAATAAAAGATGAACAGCAATAGATATAAGACACTGAAAAAATATGAGTTAAGCAAGGGAAATTAATTTCTAGCTAGTAAAGTTGATTATAAAAATTTAAGTTGCTGGCCGGGCATGGTGACTCACACCTGTAATACCAGCACTTTGGGAGGCTGAGGCAGTTGCATCACGAGGTCAGGCGTTCAAGACCAGCCTGGCCAACATAGTGAAACCCTATCTCTACTAAAAATACAAAAACTTAGCTGGGCGTGGTGGCGGACACCTGTAATCCCAGCTATTCGGGAGGCTGAGGCAGGAGAAGCGCCTGAACCTGGGAGGCAGAGGTTGCAGTGAGCCAATATTGTGCCACTGCACTCCAGCCTGGGTGACAGAACAAGACTCCATCTCAAAAAAAAAAAAAAATTTAAGTCACTAGTCCTATATTCCATAACAGAACACTATGTTAAAATGCATTAAAATCCTAACAATTATGTTAGTATTTTACAAAGGAAAACCAAATACAGTCTCTGGCATACTGTTCTATTAAGCCTGATTAAGTAACCAGCAAATCCAGTTTCTGGCATACTATTCTATCAAGCCTGATCAAATAACTGAACATTCAAGTGAAAACTTCTTGAGCAGAGCAAATAGCCTGTGCCAGATTATAAAAATGAAATCCAAATCAAAATACAGAGGTTGACCCTAAAATAAACACAAATAGAACAAACTTTCACATACATCTTCTCCATATTCTTTATTTTCAAACATATGTATGCAATCATTCACAATGGTCAGTAGTATTTCTTGATTATGATCAATGCATTTCCGGATCTTGTCCAAGTGCAGAAGAAACTGAGGAAGTAGTTTCTGTTGGTTAGCTGGAAGTGATCGAAACTGTCTTTCTGTTCGGTTCACTCGCTCATGCATACTGGTGCTAAAACATAAAAGGTGTTTTTTAAATTTGCAAAAGAATTCTCACCAGAGGCCAATCTTACTTTAAGTTTGTCTTTCTGTACAATTATTATGCTGGATACTGTACTATCATTTACAGTGTCTTGGCTTTTTGAAAGTTGTATGTTTTTACTTTATTTCAAATCCTTCTTCAAGCAACCAAAATACATATGGTTTATCACTGGTAAAAGTAAACATATGCAACAATTAGAAGGGGGAAAAGAAGATTAATGTACAATTAATTAATTTTTGTGTTTTAAACTTAAACTTTTCAGCAAAATGCTTTAAATCATTCCTTGTTTTTTTTTGTTTTTTTTTTTTGAGACAGAGTCTTGCTCTGTTGCCCAGGCTAGAGTGCAATGGCGTGATCTTGGTTCACTGTAACTTCTGCCTCCGAGGCTCAACCGATTCTCTTGCCTCAGCCTCCCAAGCAGCTGGAATTACAGGCAACTACCACCATGCCTGGCTAATTTTTGTATTTTTAGCAGAGATGGGGTTTCACCATGTTGGCCAGGCTGGTCTCGACCTCCTGACCTCACAATCCGCCCACCTTGGCCTCCCAAAGTGCTGGGACTACAGGCGTGAGCCACCGCACCAGGTCAGATTTTTACATCTTTAAGTAGCAAAATAAATACTGCTGTGAAATTATAATACACACAAAATGTATCCTGAAATTAACTAAAAATAACCTACTTGAATTTTTAAAAATATCATAGATCTTATACACTACAAATTACTAAGGAAATAAAACACTGAAATTCTAGTGTTTTATTTAACAATATCCACAATTTGCATTAGAAAAATGACCCCAAAGGCCATTCTGGGGACTGCTTATTCATAAAACAAGAAAACGGAACATTATTTTTACTTATATTTATTATTACTATTATTATTGTTTGAGATGGAGTTTTGCTCGTTGCCCAGGTTGGAATGCAGTGGCACAGTCTCAGCTCACTGTACCCTCTGCTTCCCAGGCTGAAGCCATCCTCCCAACTCAGCCTCCCAAGTAGCTGGGACTACAAACATGTGCCACCACAGTCGGCTAATATTTTTGTATTTTTTTATAGAGACCAGTTTCACCATGTTGCCCAGGCTGGTCTCCAATTCCTGGACTCAAGCAATGTGCCTGCCCTGGCCGCCCAAAGTGCTGGGATTGCAGACATGAGCCACTGTGCCTGGCCACAAGAATATAATCTTTTTTTTTTTTTAAGATGGAATCTCACTCTGTCGCCCAGGTCGGAGTGCAGTGGCACGATCCCGGCTCACTCCAATCTCTACCTCCTAGGTTCAAGCGATTCTTCTGCATCAGCCTCCCAAGTAACTGGGACTACAGGTGCTTGCCACCATGCCCAGCTAATTTTTGTATTTATAGTAGAGATGGTGGCAGGGCGACGGGTTGTCATCAAGACCATGTTGGCCAGAATGATTTTGTTCTCTTGACCTCATGATCCACCCACCTCAGCTTCCCAAAGTGCTGGGATTACAGGCCTGAGCCACCACACCCAGCCAAAACATCATTTTTAAAAGTTAAATATACACTAACAGTATATCATTTTTATATCAACAAGATGGCTAAAATTTAAAAGCCTGACTATATCAAATGGTGAAAATATGGTATAATTAGGACATTTATACACTAATGGTAAGTGCATAAATTAGTGCAACCACTTTGGAAAGAACTTAGAGCACTGCCTAGCAAAATTTAGCATGGTACTTGCCTTATGACCTAGCAATTATACTCCTAGAAACTACTGCAAATGGGCCACACGAAACATGAACAATCTTTGTCACAGTACTGTTAGAAATAACAAACAGGCCAGTACAGGGGATCATGCCTGTAATCTCAGCACTTTGGGAAGCCAAGGCAGGCGGATCACTTGAGGCCAGGAGCTCAAAACCAGCCTGGTCAACATAGTGAAACCCTGTGTCTACTAAAAATACAAAAAATTAGTTGGGCATGGTGGCGCGTGCCTGTAATCCCAGCTACTCAGGAGGCTGAGGCAGGAGGATTGCCTGAACCCGGGAGGCGGAGGTTGTGGTGAGCCGAGATTGCGCCATTGCACTCCAGCCTGGGTAACAAGAGCCAAACTCCATCTCAAAAAAAAAAGAGTGAGGACTGAACATTGATTTTTTTTTTTTTCTCTTCTCCAAGTTCCCAAGAGGCCTAGGGCGTCACGCCTTACAAACTATAAAATCTTGTTAGACAGGTTTTTATTAACCCTATATAATGACTTACTTTCCAACTTGACTCTGGTATAGCATCATATGACACGTTGCAGACTCATAAGGAAATCAAAATGTTTTACCTCAAAATATATGTCTTTGACATTTTGAAATGGCGGCCATGGGGCCAACAGATTTCAATGGTCCCACAAAGCCGTGTTTCTTAGGGGAAATGTGCATCTGTCAAGAATCTCCATTAATGTAACCAGGCCTTCCCTCTCTACGCCTTTCCTGGATCTAGGAAAGATTAACTGATAGCCTGAAAACATTAAAGTCTAAAAAGAGACATTTAGAATCTCTTCCCTCTGAGGGCTGCTACCTGGGAGGCTACATTTACTTAACAAGAACCTTGGCCTCCATAAGCCCCTTATCTACCTCAGGCATTCCTTTCTACTTAAAACAGCTTACCTCTATCAACCAAGTGCCAACTAAAGAATCCCTGAAACCCACCTATGACTTATAACCCCCTTCTTCAAGATGTCCTACCTTTTGGGTGAGATCACTATATACCTTCCATGTAATTCCTTTCTCTCTAAAATGTATAAAACCTAGCTGGGCACGGTGGCTCACGCTTGGAATCCTAGCACTTTGGGAGGCTGAGGTGGGTGGATCACCTGAGGTCAGGAGTTCAAGACCAGCCTGGCCATCATGGTGAAACCGTATCTTTAAAAAAAAAAAAAAAATGTATAAAATCAAATTGTAACCCAACCACCTGGGGCACACTTTCTCAGGACCATTTGACGCTGTGTAACCACAGGCTGTGGTCACTATCACAGTGACCCAGAATCAACCTCTTAATATATTTTGGCAGAAATTGGTTACTCCCATTACCATCTGGAAAAAACTCAGGAACATATACATTTTTTGGGAAAAAAAACTGGGGAAGAATTCATAAAGTACAATTGCATTTTATAGAAAACAAAATATATTATTTAGGGATTGATTATATGTGGAAAAACGACAAAGAAAGTAAAGATGTAAAAATTCAGGATAATGATTCTGAGGGTGAAAGAGACAGGATGTTTTTAAAAAAACTAGGCGGTCAATTGATGTGTTCACTATATCATTCTCTACATTTTATATGTATGTGTATATGTTTATATGTTCTTTGGTATTAATTCAATATTAAATGAAAATATTTTTCTTTTTCTTTTTTTTTTTGAGACGGAGTTTCGCTGTTGTTACCCAGACTGGAGTGCAATGGCAGGATCTTGGCTCACCGCAACCTCTGCCTTCTGGGTTCAAGCAATTCTCCTGCCTCAGCCTCCCGAGTAGGTGGGACTACAGGCGCGAATCACCATGCCCAGCTAATTTTTGTATTTTTAGTAGAGACGGGGTTTTACCTCGTTGACCAGGATGGTCTTGATCTCTTGACCTCGTGATCCCAAAGTGCTAGGATTATAGGCATGAGCCACCGCGCCCAGTCGAAAATATTTTTCATTTTCAGTTTCATTTTCATTTTCAATACCTTTGTCATCTGCTTTCTTAAATCTTTATTCATACAAACAATTTTCTCATTTTTACCTTATGCCAAATTATTCCAACTGCTGAACAGTAATGAACTTCAGAAGAAGCTCCTGACAAACAAGCAAAAACCTCACTAGTCACGACTTTACAAGCTTGTGTGTGGTGGCCTGGTGGGGGTGGCCCTTAGGGGTATGGTGAAGAGATCAAGTTGACAGAAGTTCCACTGACTTCTCCCTCTGGAGAGAGTATAATAATGAGCTTTGAAGTCAGAAAGATCAGGGATGAAATCCAGGTTATGACACCTATTTGCCATAGGGCATCAGGCAAATTACTTCCTTTTTGCAACTTTATCATATACAGAAGCAAAATAAGAATGAACAACCCTAATGATGATGATCACGGAATCTACCATTTATTGAGATTTAATAAATGGCAAGGACTAAACCAAGTCAGTTGATACTGATTATTCTGAAACATCTCCAGAATGAGGTAGGTAGCATTACGTTCCTCTGCCTATTAGACAGGGTTTCATTGGAAACAACATACTCAAAAGATTTAGCCCAATAGCTGAAAACACAGCAAGCACTCCAGAAAACAGTAGGTATATCTCATTTATATTATTAAAGTGTTCAAAGCAGAAAATTAAAAATACACAGGGAAAGAAAGGCTACTAATTTCTCTTCTAGAGAGAACCACTTCTAGCCTTTTGGCACTGTTTTGTTTAATACAAAGTTGCCGTGGTTCATGCCTGTAATCCCAGCGTTTTGGGAGGCTAAGGTGAGAGGCCTATTTGAGGCCAGGCGTTCAAAACCAGCCTGGGCAATAGAGCAAAACCCTCATCTCTACAAAAAAATTAAAAAAAAAAAACAAACAATTAGCCAGGCATGGTGGTGTATGCCTGTAGCCTCACCTACTCGGGAGGCTTGCTTGAGCCCAGAAGGTCAAGGCTGCAGTGAGTCATGATTGTGTCACTGCACTGCAAGCTACAGCAAGACCCTGTCTCCAAAACAGAGAAGAAAAAAAAAAAAAAGACAAAGTCATCTAGCATCTTACTTTAATTCAAGCTGAATATTGACAAATTATAAGTGTATATGTTTGTTGGGGTACAAAGTGGATGTTCATCATTCCATCTTTCGTAACCAATAGTTACTTAGCTATTTCCAAACTACTGGGCATTTAGACACTCACTTGTTTTTATGATGAACTTTTTATGTTCAAAATCTGTCTATATTTTAGAAAAACAATTAGCATAAATTCCTGAAATTAGAATTACCAGGTAAGAAGGGGAATAAG